CCCCAAAACCCCAAAACCCCAAAACCCCAAAACCCCATTAAATTATGAATCAAATTATTTGTGTTTAATTATTAAGTATTGGAATACATTATTAAATGATAGACAATAATAGTTAATTGGAGTCTGCATTGTAGTTTTACACTAATTCAAAATTTATCAATTTATATTATAGGCACAGCCTCTCGTTAATTATTAGTTATGTTAGAATTATAACTTGTACTGCCGCTTACAATAGGAATACTTTATTTATTTGTTGTTATTTTTGAAGCATTTAAAATGGGAGGTAGTCTTTTCCGAAATGAATTTTGAGAATTCATGCTAGACTAACCTGTGTTTCTTGCATTCTTTACCAAATGCACTTAAAATGAGATGCTGGTTTTGCTATGATCTTATTGTTTATTCATTTCCAAATCATTTAACTTGTTAGGCTGTTATGTTTAACGAAGCTAGAGGATAGAGATGTCAGAGAAATCTTCATCCTCCTTGTTTTTTTATCTTATCTCATTATTTTCATCCAATGCTTCTTGTAATTGTTGCTATTTCTTAGCTCTTCTTTTTTTCAATGAAAAGCTTGCTACTTATTATTTAGCTATGATCATTCTCTTTTCTTCTACAGGAGGCAAAATCTTTTTAGCTATTGATCGACTTGGCAGCGCTGATGGGCCATGTCAATTGCTCATTACCTCCATGGTTACTTTGCTTCCTGTTTTAAAAGTCATTCTTTAGCTTTCATTAAAATGAAATGATTTATCTGGCATATTGCTATCACTAATGTCACTTTTCTTTTTTATTTCACTTTTATATTTTGGCCCTTAACTTTAAACCTCCTGTTCTTCTTCATCTTCGTAATCATCGTCATTGTGTTTTAAGTTAGCACTGCTCTCCTCCTCAAGCTCTGGAACCTCAATGCCTTTATTAGCGAGATTCTTAAAGCATTAACGGATTATTGCCATATCCTTAACTCGAATGTCTTCTGAACAGTAAAAATTATGTAGCTCGTTTATATGTTTTTGAGTTATTAGCTTTTTTGTGAATTCTAATCCTGGATAAGTTTTCCTCTTACCCAAGTAACTTCCTTTTTTTATTTTTTGAATCACATAGCAATATGCTTCACCATCGAATAAATCTTGTTTAAGAATTTTACTTTTATTTTTCATGTAAAAATAGCAAAGAAGTCCAAAAACCAATGATCCTCCTATCACTCCAATTATTATCCAAACCCACAATTCCATTTTAATATCAATCTATACATATATTTGAAAAAACTTGATTATATTCTTTAAATTAGCATAAAAGTGATGAATCAAGGAACATGGGGTTTTGGGGTTTTGGGGTTTTGGGG